CGAGTTCTCGGAGGTGAGCAAGGCACCTGTGAGGGGCATGCTGCAGAACGGTCATCTGGTAGAAAATCCCGAAGCACATGGTACCGGGCACGAAGCACGGGAACGTTTGCAAGGCCCTGCCGTTCAAGACGGCGGAGGACAGCCATCGTGATGCTCAACGGCGCTTCGCTCGTTGACGCCTCGCTCCCAGCAGCCCGTTCCTCGAGGAGCTGGGCCGAGACGGTCCGCATGGCCATCTTCAGACGGCGCAGGCGGATGAGCGGGCCAGATCCGGTGAGAGCTCCATCAGGGACTGGTACTCGTCGGCAACCTGCAAGGGCCAGCGCTCGTCCTGGAGTATCGCCTCGGGAATGGCCTAGGGATCACCTGTATAATCGCCGTTAAATTGCCACAAACTGTATTGATTACGTTATTCTCTTGCACAACTGTGCTCTAGCGCTCGGACCTCTTTATTTTCGTTCGTCGTCGTCGTCGTCCCCCTGGTGACCCAACCTCCCCCCTGGTCGTGGCCCCAGCCCCCCTCGCCCCGCTGGCCCTGGCCGTGGACCCGGCCTCCCCCCCCCCCGGCCCTGGCCCCAGTCCCCCTCGCCCTGGATATTTTTGTTCGTCGTCGTCGTCCCCCTGATCCGGTCCTGGCCCTGGACCCAACCTCCCTCCCTGGTCCTGGCCCCAGCCCCTCTCGCCCCGCTTGCCCTGGCCGTGGACCCAGCCTCCCCCCCCCGGCCCCGGCTCCAGTCCCCCCCGCCCTGGACTCCGTATTTTCGCTCGTCGTCGTCCCTGGTCCGGTCCTGGCCCTGGACCAACCTCCCCCGCTGGTCCTGGCCCCAGCCCCCCTCGCCCCGCTGGCCCTGGCCGTGGACCCAGCCTCCCCGGCCCTGGCCCCAGTCCCCCTCGCCCTGGACTTTTTTATTTTCGTGGTTCGTCGTCGTCGTCCCCCTGGTCCGGTCCTGGCCCTGGACCAACCTCCCCGGCTGGTCCTGGCCCCAGCCCCCCTCGCCCCGCTGGCCCTGGCCCTGGACCCAGCCTCCCCCCCGACGGCCCTGCCCCAGTCCCCCTCGCCCTGGACCCTTTATTTTCGCTCGTCGTCGTCCCTGGTCCGGTCCTGGCCCTGGACCAACCTCCCTTTGGTCCTGGCCCACAGCCCCCCTCGCCCCGCTGGCCCTGGCCCTGGACCACGCTTCCCCCTCCCCCCGGCCCTGGCCCCAGCCCCCCTCGCCCTGGACTATTGATAATCGTTCGTCGTCGTCCCTCAGGTCCTGGCCCTGGATCCTGCCTCCTCCCCTGGCCCTGGCCCCAGCCCTCCTCGCCCTGGACCCTTTGTTTTCGTTCGTCCTCGCCCCCGTCCTCCTGCCCTGGCCCTCAACCCAGCCTCCCGTCTTGGCTCTGTCGTCCCCTGGCCCTGGCCCCAGCCCCCCTCGCCCCGGACCCTTTAGTTCGTCGTCGTCCCCCTGGCTGTGGCCTGCTTCCCTAGCCCCCTCGCCCCCGTCCTCCTGCCCTGGCCCTGAACCCAGCCTCCCTCCTTGGCTCTGGCGCCCCCTGGCCCTGGCCCCAGCCCCCCTCTCCCCGGCCCTTTTATTTTCGTGGTTCGTGGTTTGTCGTCGTCCCCCCTGGCTGTGGCCCGCTTCCCCTCGCCCCCGTCCCCCTAGGCTGTGGCCCGCCCCCCCTCGCCCCCTCGCCCCAACCCGGACCTCTGGCCTCGGGTCCGAGCCCCAGCCCTCTGGCCCTGGCTGAGCTCAGCTTGTTTCCTGGCCGTGGCCCCACTCGCCCCGACCCTGGCCTTCGCCCCAGCCCTCCTCGCCCCGGTGTATTTTCGTGGTTCGAGCCCCTGGTCCGAGCTTCAGTCCCCCTGCCCTGCCCCTGGATTCCCACTCGCCCCGACCCTGGCCTCGGCCCCAGCCCTCCTCGCCCCGGACCCTTTATTTCCTTGGTTCCGTCCCCCTGGCTCTAGCCCCCCATCCCCTGGCCCTCTCGCCCCCCGCATGCTCCTCCTCCTCTTTCTCTGCGCAAATGTGCAAGAGCCAGGGCACGCGTGCTACTTGTCATGTCTCCCCCCGCACCCCCCCTTGGAATCGCGCCACTCCGCCGACGCAAGATGGATGCCCCTCTTCTCGGGCTCTCAAAACCATTTTTTAGCATAGTAAATCGACGATTTGGGCCTCTGGGGCCTCTGGGGACACCAAGAGGGCCTCAAGATGGCCCAAGATGGCCGCAAGACGGCCCTGGATGGTCCCAAGAGGGCCAGTGAGGCCCCCAAGACGGCTCAATGGGGCCGCAAGAGGACTCGAAAAAGCGCCTCCAGGAGCCAAAATCCTTGATTTTCCATTTGTTTTTGAAAGATTTTAGCGTTCTCGCCTTTTCTGCTTTCCAGAGGACCATGACGGCCCAAGCAGCCTCCAAGAAGCCTTCAAGACGGCCAACGAGGCCCCAAAAGGGGCCCCAGGATTGCTCAAGAGGGCCCCGAGACGGCAAGAAGAGGCCCCCAAGACGGTCCAAGGGGCCCCCAAGACGACCCAAGAGGACTCCAAGAGAGCCCCAAGGCGGCCGCGAGAAGCCTCCAAGATGGCCTCCGAAAGGGGCCAGACGGCGCAAGAGCGTTCCAAGCCGGCGCAAGACGTCAACAAGAAGCCCCAAGAGGCCCCAAAGCGGCCCCAAAGACGCTCCAAGAAGCCCCCACGAGGCTTGCAACAGGCTCCCAAGAGCCCCCCATGAGGCCGCCCAGAAGCCCTGGGGATTGCAGGACGGAGCGGCACGCACGCGCGGCAGCCGAGCAGGTCACGCCAACCAACGCACACACACCGTTGCCCACACCCTCCACATTTGAGCACTTTTCCATACGGCCGCGAGAGGCCCCAGACTGGCCTCGAGAGACCGGCCTCCGAATGGGCCACACGCCACAATGGCGCCCCAAGACGGCCCAAGACGCCCCCAAGAGGCCCCAAGAGGCCCCAAAGAAGCCCAGTACAGAAGAGGCCACAAGAAGCCCCCAAGATACCTCCAAGAGGCCACAAAGAAGCTCCCAAGAGGCCCCGCAATGACTGGACTGTACGTGCTCCGGACGTGCACCCCGCGAAGCGGGAGGAATCTTCCCGTAAGCCCTGTTCTGCGCTCTGCCGCTCTACTAGCCCTGAGCTTGACCCCGAGATCCGACGTTGCGAGAAAATTAGCCTGACAAAGGTCCCAACCATTTGCAGCTGTGAGTAACGCAGTCGTGACTATCATGTTCGATGAAGCTCCCTATGGGGTCACGATCCTTGTGAGCGGTGCGCCGAACTGGGGCGGGGCAGCCATGCGAACTTTCCCACTGGGCCTTCGGTGGAGCTCCCTATGGGGCCACGATCCTCATGAGCGGTGCGCCGAACTGGGGCGGGGCCGCCATGCGAAGTTTCCCACTGGGGCCTTTGGTAGAGCTCCCTATGGGGCCCCGATCCTCGTGAGGGGTGCGCCGAACTGGGACGGGGCCGCCATGCGAATTTTCCCACTGGGGCCTTAGGTGGAGCTCCCTATGGGGCCACGACCCTATAGGGCCACGGTCCTTGTGAGGGGTTCGCCGAACTGGGGCGGGGCCGCCATGCGAACTTTCCCACTGGGGCCTTCGGTGGAGTTCCCCACGGGGCCACGAAACGTGTGAGGGGTGTGCCGAACTGGGGCGGGGCAGCCATGCGAACTTTCCCACTGGGCCTTCGGTGGAGCTCCCTATGGGGCCACGATCCTCGTGAGCGGTGCGCCGAACTGGGGCGGGGCCGCCATGCGAACTTTCCCACTGGGCCTTCGGTGGAGCTCCCTACTCGTGAGGGGTGCGCCGAACTGGGGCGGGGCCGCCATGCGAACTTTCCCCCTGGGGCCTTCGGTGGAGCTCCCTATGGGCTACGCTCCTCGTGAGGGGTGTGCCAGAATGAAGCAGGGCCGCCATGCGAACTTCCACTGGAGCCTTCGGTGGAGCTCCCCACAGGGCCACGAAACGTGTGAGGGGTGTGCCGAAATGAGGCGGGGCCGCCATGCGAACTTTCCCATTGGGGCCTTAGGTGGAGATCCCTATGGTGCACGAAACGTGTGAGGGGTGTGCCGAACTGAGGCAGGGCCGCCATGCGAACTTTCCCATTGGGGCCTTTGGTGGAGCTCCTTATGGGGCCACGAAACGTGTGAGGGGTGTGCCGAACTGAGGCAGGGCCGCCATGCGAACTTTCCCATTGGGCCTTAGGTGGAGCTCCCTGTGGGGCCACGAAACGTGTGAGGGGTGTGTTGAAATGAGGCGGGGCCGCCATGCGAATTTTCCCACTGGGGCCTTCGGTGGAGTCCCCTATGGGGCCACGAAGCGGGTGAGGGGTGTGCCGAAATGGGACGGGGCCGTCATGCGAACTTTCTCATTGGGGCTTTAGGTGGAGCTCCCTATGGGGCCACGAAACGTGTGAGATGTGTGCCGAATTGGTGGGCACGCGGAGAACAGAGGCACGACGCTGACGATGGCGATGTTGATGACGCCGATGATGGCGATGGTGCCCGCGATGATGGTGATGGTGGTGATGATGATGATGATGATGACGATGACGATGACGATGACGATGACGATGGCGATGTTGATGACGCCGATGATGGCGATGGTGCCCGCGATGATGGTGATGGTGGTGGTGATGATGATGATGATGATGATGATGATGATGATGATGATGATGATGATGATGATGATGGTGAGATGGGGAGGGAGTGGGCAGCGGGAGGAGGAGGGAGACGCGGGGCGCTGTCTCTTCAAAACGAGGACCCAACACCACAGGATGGTTGAGAAATACAGCATCACGAAAAATTGCACTCGCAGCCCTAGACCCCATCTTCCTGCGTCAGTGTTCGAGCAGGATCGATCTGTGATGGCCCCAGGGCCCGAATCCGAGCGTAAACACCTGGCGTGACAAAAATACATCGCCCGGGTCTCAGGGGACGCTGCCCCCTCTGCCGCTCGGCCTGAGGGGGGGCCACTTGCCATGCATTCGGAACGGGTGCCCGGCGACCCCTCCTCGCCGAGGATGAAGCTCAGGGGCTCCTGAGCAGCCGCGGAGGGCAGATCGGCTCGGACCGGCGGGGACTGCTCGGATCGGCGCTGGACTCCCTCCATTGCGCGCGGACTGCGCGAGGGGCTACGGCGGGGGGTCCAACGCCGATCCGCCAAGTACGTAGTCCCTCGGGCGGTGTCTCCACCGCCGCCCCTGGCACGCTCCGCGCGCCAGGGAGGGAGGCCCAGCGCCCAACACGACTACCTCTTGCATCGGCGCTGCTCCCCTGGCACCGCCCCTGGCGCGCTTCGTGCGTCAGGAAAGGGTCCAGCGCCGATCCGAGGAATTCCCTAGACATCCAAAAGTTCGTGTCTGTGCCAATTTGTCGCCAAGGAGGCGGGGTGCAGAAACAAATGACGAATTTGTATAACATATTTTTTGTCATTGAATGTTTTTGGAACGCGTCGAATGCGAAGGGCTTTCGTGCGTGACCAGCATCGCCTGTGCTGCGGTCTCCGCACTGCGCCACGCATATCTCACAAAAAGACAACGCGCGAAATTCAAACGGCCGTCGGCGCATCGAGGAACTCATGAACCAATTCCAGGCAAGCGCGCGCGCCGCTGAAAACAACCGCAAAATACAAGAAACCGAACAACCATGACCGGAACAAATCGACGAATCCTGCATGTGCCAAAATTCGACCCAACGGGCCCGCGCCAGGAAAAAAAATGTGCAAAAGCGAGGCCGCACGCGCGACCTCCCTCGCGATCATCGGGCGTTGCCCCTGGCAGCACAGGGGCATTCCAACGACCGCGCGCGCGTGCGCAAGTTTGCTGCATGAGCTAAGACCGCCGAAAACGCCACGCAGAATCGTCGCATGGGCGAGCATCCGCGACTTGGCGCCCATCCCCGCACGCGAACTAAGCGGCCCCAGCGCGTCGCGAAAATCTACTTTGGGATGCCCCAGCTGCTACTGCGGGCAAAAGTGCGACGTCCGCGGGAATGACCCACATGTCATGCTCAACTCATCAGAATCACGGGGGGGGGAGGGCGAAAACCACCGAGCACCTACTTCGCAAGAGCAAGAAGAAGCCAGAACAGAGGGACGGTAAGAAGGAGGAAGGGGAGGAAGAGTTCACGACTGGTCGGGCGTAGATACGCTAATATCCCAGGTTGCACCCTCGGCAGCGCACGCGCGAACGCAGGTGAAGAACGACGAATCGTGAGCGCTGAAAAGGCTCACCGCTTCTGTTCCCGAAACGCTCTTTCAAGAAGCGGCACCCCGAGAAACGCCAAGAACCCCCATGATCATATTCACACAGACCTCGCAAGGCGATCAGTTCGCCTGAGACTCGGGGCCAAAGTGCGGTGGCAACATGACCACCGATCAGTCGATCGAACCGAACAGGGAGGAACGGGGGCGACTGGCGAATGGATGGGAGGAGTCTGGAGCCTCTGCCGGCTGCCCAGCGCCCACGGGGTCGGACGGCGCCCAATGGGTTTCGGAGGCGCTCGAGCGCCCAAGGTCGGGGGCGGGACAATCACACTAACATCGACGTCGTCATCTGTCTCATGGGCCCTCCACGTCGCCATGATGCGCAAAGCCCAACTGGCATTTTTCTAAAGTTTGTTATTGCCCACCTTCATTATCCGTCGCCCTCCCTCCCCTGTCAAACCCAACCACGCTCAGCGGCACTCTACTGAACCAAACCGACGCAGAATGACTGCCAATTTCGCGCGGGACGCCCCTGGCAGCGGAATCTCGCCCCTTGCGTTCGATCAAACACTGGCGCGCCTGACCTAGCGGCGCCCTTGACCTCCACGCCCCATCCCATGGGCCGCTGGCCCCGACAAGTCAGTGGCAATGCGATTTTCATGCTGCTTCAAATAACTGCCACGCGCGCGCGCGACCACTCGTCTGCCGAACAGAACTGCCACTTGCTTCTTGATCCCTGAGCGATTTGACCGAAGGGATTTTCTGGGCCCGCGGGGAGTGACGGTCGAATTTCGTTCGGCCCATCGGGGGCCGCGCAACCGCCCGCCACGCCAGCGGCCGATTTTTTTCGGCCAGGGCACCCCCTCCAAGGGCGTCGCGCCGAATTTTTTCTCTCGGAGCATTGGGCGCGCGGGGGCCGAATTTTGCGCCGAATTTTTGCGCCGAATTTTCTTCCAATGAAGTCTCAGGCAAAACCGCCAAAAAAAATCGGCCGAGAAATCCGGCCAGAAATCCGGCCGCTGTGCGACGCAAGAATCCGGCCAGAAAATCCGGCCTGGAATCTGGCCAGGAATCCGGCCAAAAATCCGGCCGAGAAACTCGGCCAGGAAACCTGGCCAGGAATCCGGGCGCGAATGCGATCGAGCGACGAGAGAAGCAGAAGGAAAAGAGCGGCGTCGGCAAAAAAACGCAAGAGGAAGAGAAGGACGTGGAAGAGAACGATGGCGACGAGAATAAACGCAGCACGGGCATCACCCTGGGCAGCATGGTTCAGGTTATTTTGAATTCCGCGCCCGGGTTCAGGCACCAGGCGCGCCTGGCTTTAGCCCCCGCAGCCCCACCAATCGCTTGCAAGCCCGCCGCGTGCCCCACCCAACCCCTGCCGCCCAAGAAATGAATGAACTTAGGATGCTCCCGGCACCGAAAGACAGCAACGCAAAAAAGAACGTCGTACCCCCAGCTGTTCCTCCAAAGTTTGCCTGCGGCATGACATCTTGCGCGCCCATTGATTGGCAATGTGCGTCGCGCCCTCACTAGGTCATAAAGACGTGTCGAAACGACCCGATAGAACATGTGGCACCAGCGGCGCCATTGCGCCATCGGCGCTGGAATCTTTGCCCTTATGGATAATTCGACGCCGCCAACGCGCCGCCGCCGCTCTTTACGCACGCGTGCTGGCGTAGCATTTCAACTGTTGTAGCGCATCAGCACGGGGCGGGCGGGCGCAGAAACCGCGACGACGGACTCGCTATGTCGCGCGAGAGGTGCGCGGTGGTTCCCGCCGGTCTGGCAATCGCGCGCGCGTCGCATCGGGCGCCGAACCCCCCCGTCGGCGGGCCGTGCCGATCGAACTCCTCTCGGGCCCCATCGGCCTACAGTAGGCAGAGCGGGCCGACGCTGGGAGTTTGGTCTCCTCTGATAATGAAGCGACACCTGAGCCGCGCCGACGGAAATACAGGGAGAGTCGAGGAAGTCGAGGGTGAGGACACGCAAGCGAACGCACATTTTTTCACCGCCCCGGGGCGTCTTCTGGCACATCTGCACGAAGCCGCATAACCACTCGAATCGAACTTCAAAACCATGGGGGCCCGGGGGAGGGAAGAAAGAGGAGGGGCAACATAATGGCTGAAGCACGCCCAGACAACTTCTCATGATCGAAAGACACCTCTTGGCAAACCAGAGCACCAGCAAGGCACAAAAAACACGAACGGCACGGGAGCGAACGCCATTCTGCACTCAAAACACGCCAGACTTCACGTAGCACAAGGTCCTGAACGGTGAGACTACGTCCGCCGTGATTCGACTGCGGCCGCTTGAAGCAAGAATGGATCGAACTTCCCTCTGATAAGGTATCGGGCCAAGCTGTGCTAGGTCGGGCCGGCTAAGGCTTCGCAGGACTGGTGCGCCGCTCGATGACAACGCAAAGCCGAACTGGACTGGGCTTCGCTGGGCTGCGATCTAAAGCGAGCTTGTTGCAACATGCGGGGCTGCATTGACCTGGGCGTCGTTGCGCTGGCCTGGGTCGCGTAGGTCGAACACGTGCACGACGTGGCCTTCCTTGCGAAGGTTTATCGGAGCTGGCGCTACTTGTTCTACGTCGGGCCGCGCGGGCTTTCATGGGGCCTCATATATTTCTTTCAAGCACGAGTCCCTATTTAACATGTTCTCCCATTCGCCGCGGCGATGCTGCGGCCGGCTCAACGACAAAAGGCGCGGAGGCCAGAAAAATCCGGCTCTGCAGAATAAGCCCAGGTGACAATTTGTGTTCTTCCCCGAGAGCCGAGAACAGCTGCAGGCAAGAACGGAGGGCCGCGGCCTGTAGAGGGGATGTGGCGCCGGGGTGGCGGCGCGCGGCGGGCGGTCACGAGCGGCGAACTGAGGGGGAGCGTTCGGGGGACCGGCTCAGGGAGCGGGGGGGACAGCGAATCCGCACGTTCCTTGTCGGGGTGGGCTATCGGGCCCCTGTCGGCGATGCATGGGCGATTAGGGGTCGATGCATCTGCCCCAGAGCCTGAGTAACGTTGCCCCTGACCAGCGTATCCATATCCACGCCCTTGCGGTCTGGAGTCCCTGGCGCGATCCCGCGGATACGCGGTCGCATGGATGCGTTCCGCGCGGGGTATTCGCAAACAAAACGCCCCGTATCCACGGAGTCGCGGTCTTAGGGCCCGGCCCGCGAGGCAGGGGACACGGATATGCGTCCCTTTGACTTTGGACTCCGCCTCGGATTATCCGAAGACGCCCTCAGAACGCGACGGATGTGCTTCCCGCCGACACAGAGGGAGAAGTAAACGCATCACGAGGGCAGCAAGCCAAGGACTTCATGGTCTTTGCGGATGGGCGCGGATCAAACCTGCCAACCAGGCTTGCATGCCGCGGTCATCCCAGTCATGAACACCATCACCACCACTATCCTCACCACCACCATCACTATCATCACAACCACCATCACCACCACCACCATCACCACCACCATCACCAACAACACCGTCACCACCACCATTTCCACCAACACCATCACCACCAACATCACCACCAACACCATCACCACCACCATCAACACCATCACCATCATCATTATAATCGGCATCAGCATCATCATCAACAGCATCATCACCACCACCACCATCTTCATCACCACCACCGTCATCATCCCCATCATCGTCCTCATCGTAAATATCGTCGTCAACAGCATCACCATCACGATCGCCATTACCATCATCATCATCAGCAGCAGCAGTATCCTCGTCACCATCCTCATCATCAGCATCATCAGCAACAACACCAACATACATGTCGTCATCGTCGTCGTCACCATCATCCCACTATCACCACTGTAAACATCAGCATCAGCGTCCCCGCTATCCTCTACCCCGTCCCTCCCTGGACGAGCACGTCCCACTACTCGCAGATGGGCTGGATCCGCCGCGGGAGATCTACGATAAAAAAATCATCGAAGCAAACACACACACACACGCACACACACACACATATTATATATATATATATCGGACACGTTGCGAGTAGTAGAATGCGCTTGGTGACTCCCTCTTCCTCTCCTTCCCTGCTCGACGCCTCGCCGCCCCCGCTTCCTCTATCTCTGTTTGCCAGTGCGGCTGATGCTGGAGACAATGAGCGACAGCAGCAGCAATGACGCCCTCCCAGGAGATTGAACAAGTTAAGCGAGAGTCAATGGAAATTTAGTCCAGCTCTTCATTGGCCAGGGGGGCCTTCTTCTTCTTCTGAATTCTGTTTCGCTCAATCCTCTGGCTACAGGAATCGGCATCCTCCAGAGAGAGTCCGAAGTGTGAGGCGAGCTGCTGGGCACTCCTTGCGGAGCGACTTGATCCCCCCGAAGCAAGAGGCTGCACAGATCGCGCAGACAAGACTGGTAGTGCCGCGGGCCACTTTCTTCGATTCTACTCACGTGTTCTCTTCGAGGGACTCCTGTCCGTCCGTGGAAGCGAAGATCTGGCCGTCCTCCTCGAGGACCCCCGTGTACTCGATCCAGGCGCGCATGCCCTCCTGCGGGACCGGACGGGCACGGGTCGGGCAGAGGATGGGCGGGGCGGGCGGGTGGCGAGGCAGAGCGCGAGTGAGAGGACGTTCGAAAGGGGGCTCTGAAAACACAAACATGGCTCGTGCCAACGACGAAAGAAAACGGGATCGACCCACGAACCCAGAAAGGTGCATTAAACTGCGAAGCATGGACACGCTTCAAGACAACTAATTAACTTGGGCAATGTGCGCTGACAACGCTGAAGATATCGATGGGGATGGTACCGTGCCAAAGGCTGTGCTGCGCTGCGTTGTGCAGAGCTGCGCCGGGGGGGATGTGATGACCTATGCTGCGCCATGCTGTGTTGAAATGTGTTGTGCTCTATGTTGTTGTGGACCAAGCCGTCCTTGACGCCCGAGTCCTGACCGAACTGATCTGGATCTTAAGCTCGACATGCTTGAAGGCATGGCTCGCCCAGAGTTGGTTGCAGTCGAAACGTGCGGGGCACTCAGCCAACTCGAGCTCAAAGTTCGATTCAGTTCCGAAGCGGGACGAATCGAAAGGAGACACATCTAAACCGAGACGAAACGCGCCGAGAGGGGACGGACCAAAACGCGGCGTGACGTGTCAGCGCCGCTGCTGAGCAAATCGGCGCCCAGTTGTCACGAAGGCCGGGGACATGCAGTGGCCCGGCTCGAGGGGCAGCTGAGGCCCCGCCCGGCCGGGCAGTCGCGAGGAGGGCGATGATCGCGGGCAAAACCGAGGGCGCGGGCCTGGAGGCCCAGCCATGCGAGAGACGAGGCCACGCCAGGGTGACCGTGCGGGCGCAGTGCCGGGCAGAAACGGAGGGCGGGGGAGGGGGGGGGGCCAACACGAGAACGGGCCAAGCTGACGGAGCAGGCCCAGGGCTCCGGGGAGTAGGAAACTCAGGCTCGATCGTTGGGTCGAGTTAATCTTGGCGCCGAGTCCTGACCGAACTGATTTGGATCTGAAGCTCGAGCTGCCTGATGGCCTGCCTCGCCCAGAGCTCGCTCTAATCGAGCGGAGGGGACCCGACCGAGCTCAAGATCCGGTTCAGTTATGGACTTGGCGATGGCATTCCTCGTGCACTCCTGGCGCATCATTTTCGGCCTCCACCTCCCCCATAATCCGCCCCTTCTTCGAGCGGATGCTCAGGCATAGAGCCCGACGACCACATGTTAGATATCCCCGTCCCAAGCCTTGTGATCTACCAGAAGAAATTGAACAACACAGCGTTTCGCCTGAGACAGCCTCAGAAACCAATCTGTCGGCCCCCTTCGACCTCATCACGACATCCATCAGAAAAGAATTCGCCGGCCCTCTTCGAACATGGCACCAGCAACCGTGGAACACAACTGAAAAGGAACCCTGGGCTCCCACCCTGTCTGGGAAAAAAATAAGATGTATTGTTTCAACCGGCGTTTGTTCTTCGGTTTCGGCCCTCGGGGTCCGTTTTCGGCTCAGGACAATCAAACATGATCCGGAACGAAAAAGTAGGTACCCCGAGGAAGCTGTCGGGACCCCTGGGGCCACGGATTGAGAAAACAGGTCGGCGGACGTTATGGAGCCCTGGACAAACAAAAACTGCAAACAAATGGTACCTCTTGGCAGGCCGACTTTTACCTCCGCCGGCTTCCACAGGCCCCGCTTTGCTTCTACCGGCCCTCCGCCTGGGAAGAGAGGACAACCTCTCGATCCCTCGGGGCCGATGACCTGCTGCTGCTGCTGCCATCGCAGCCATTTTAGGTCGAATCTCGTGCAGCTGAGCCAATTGTAATGCGGACTCGTGCCACGCAACTGCACGGCGGGTTACGAAACGTACAAAATTGCTATGAACCCCCCTCGCACACATCAGAGTTTTGTCACATGGCGCTCCGAAGGGGTGCGGCAACCGATGCCACACCGTCAGCTGTGGGGCATGCGGACGATCGCGCGTCGTTCGCGGCGGCTCTCGCGGAAGCATCCTGGGAGCGGAGCCCCCGCCGCAGCCAAGGTGGCAAGAAAGGCCTTGCTCAGGAGAGCGCTTTCGTCGACGGTGGCCGATCTCCTGACCAGGCAGAGCTGAAGACACTCATCAAGGAATTTTTCCAATCGAACATACAAGTGCAGCAGTCCACAGCGCAGAGTACCACCCAGATGCAGAACAACATAAGCTCCTTCATGAACCAGTGGACCCAGGCACTCCAGACCATCATCCAGGCAGGACGGACAGCCGCTCCCCCGGACGTGGAGGCAGCCCACGCTGTTGCCGCCCAGGCAGCCGCCCAGGCGGCCGCACAAGCAGCCGCCGCAGCAGCCACTGCGGCCGTGGCAGCGCGCCCAGAGCAGCAGGAGGGCAGCGCAGACAGCACCAACATTCGCAAGGCGAAGATCCCCAAGGAGCTTCAGGGCGCCCACAAGCTTCGCTCCATCTTCGAGGGCGACCTTCGGAAGTGGATCAACGCTAAGCGGCGGCAGGAGAAGATCTCTCGGGACGTGGCCACGTTCCAGGAGGGACCTGGTAGATATCCTGCCGGAGTCCGCCCTTTCAATTCTCCGTCCACGATGCAGGAGTTGGATGAGAAATGGTCCAAAACTACTGACGCCGATGACGTGCTCACCATCACCATCCCCAAGGGGTCCACCCACCGGGCAGCGATGGCACATATTCACTGGGCAGCGGCAGCAGCCCAGAAACAGATCGAGCACGACTCGGCCTCGGTGAAAAATGAAGACAACGAAGGCGGCAGCGCAGCAACAGGCTTTCGCGGATGCTGTGAAGGTACTTGTCCGCGAAGCCTAAGACAAGGACCGTGCGGCCACCCTTGGGCTCAACGAGCCGCTGTACGAAACCATCCCAGAAAGTGCAGTCCAACAGAAGGCGGAGGAACTCTACTAGCTCGCCGTGGACACGGTGGCAAAGGAAGTTACCACGAAAGACGAGGAGGTACAGAAACAAAAGGCGAAGGAGCAGGAGAAAGAGAAACTCGCTTTGGAGGCGGAGCCGGGAAACCTCCTGGAGCTCATCATCGACGCCCGTATCGACGGTAAGCTCAAACAGGACGGGAATCACGCCCCCGTGGAAGCCGAACCCACGGAGCCAGGACCTTCAGACGCCGCAGCCGCCCCCAATGCCACCAGCTTCTGCAAGAAAATCATGGCAAAAAACGGGGGCGCCCCGGCAGAGCCTGAGCCGTGGCAGCGTGCAGCCTGGCGGAGGCCAGGGCCACCCCAAAGGAGCCCCACCCAGGGAAGGAGGGGGCAAAAATAACAGCAACGGCAAGGGCAAGGCGGAAGGCAAGGACGGCAGAAAAGAAAAACGCTTCGGCAAAAAGAGTGGCGGCAAGCACAAAAAGCTCGGGAACAGGGCCACATCGCAAGTGAGATGGATGGCCCGCCTTGCCCAAGGACTGCAAGCAGGGGATCTGCTCACGCTTCTTGGATGGACTGGCGCCCAACACCTCGTCCAACGATACGATTATTACACGAAGTCAATAGTTGATGACCCTAGGACTCTATGGCCATTGAAGTGGTTGATTTTAAGACGGCATCGCAAACATCTGTTTCAATCACGTAGTCTGCCTTTCATGGAACGCGCGCGGTCAAAAATCATTGAATTTGTAAATAGGATCAAGAGGCGATGGTATTTAAATGTTTCCCCGTCCGACGACGAAGACGTATCCTTCCCTCTCCCTCGCTCCTCTCGGGTCACCCCCTTCTCCCATCAAGCTACTGTTGGCACGAGGCCTGAGTGGAGATTGCTAGAGCGATGGCTTGCCTCCGTGACGGGGAGGCTCCTAGGTGCAGTCAGGAAGGCCTGGTCGTCCCACCAATACGGCGATCGCAGTTGTTCGAACACCTGTGCGTTGGAAAGGCTTGCTTTGAAGGTCCTTCGTAATACCGCTTACGTCTGCTTACCGAATGATAAAAACGGTCGCTTTTCATTCGTTCTTAGGTCTGACCTACCCATGATGTCGGCCAGGATCCTCAGCTCCCTTTATGTACATACCTTGCAGTCACCACGGGCTGCTGGCTAGCCTGGTGCAATCATACAGGAGGCTGTACCAGGGTCGCGGAAACGATCGGTCAGCCACATGCCGCCCGAATGATGTTTAAGACGACATGGTTTCCCTCATGCACTTTGTTCAGCCGCCAGCAGCTTATCAAGGATCACAAACTGTCAGGGAACGTAGTTTGCCGCCCAGTGCGCGCTACGCCCTCCTTCATTTTTGGAGGTTTGAGCTCCTGGCTGATTTGTTGTCCTCAAGGCTAAACTCAGCGAGCGCGCTCCCCACCTGCTCCGAAACACCTCTGATTTCGTTGGCAGACTACGCGATCTGCGCCAAGACGCATCTTGGCATGTTTGCCAGGTCGATGTGAAAGATTTCTATTTGAATGGCACCGCTGGCGAAATCACATCGTGTGTCTTGTCATTGTTCGATACGCGCGATGCTATTTACAATGTGTTAGAAGCCGTCATTCGTTTCTTGCTCCAGTGCCAATTCGTGCGAGACCCCTGGGACGATTCGAAAGATCTTGTGTATCAAGTGGTCTCTGGCTCAGGGATGGGCCTCCCACACAGCGGAGAGCTGGCGGATTGCGCATTCTTAGGCCCGGTTGAACAACGCCTGTTTCGTTCCCAAATTTTGAACGATCACGGGATCAGGGGGTATTCGAGATTTCGTGATGACATTATATTGCTCGGCCAAGGCCTCGCGTCCGTGACAGAGCGATTTGTAAAGAAAATGCGAACTTTAGCTTCATTGTACCCTCTGACCGCGGAGTGGGGGCGTAGCAGCATTGACTACCTCGGAGTATCTATCTGCATCGGGAGTGGCAGATTTGATGTTTCACATGTTCTCAAGCAGGGCATGCGTCCCTATCCCCCCCTTTGGGCACCAGCAGTTCGCATCACTATCCAATACATGCGTCCTGGCCTCGGGTGTATGTAAGCCGAGTGTTTAAGCTCTGCAATAGCCCAATCTTGTAGATCTTGTGGATCATCTGAAAAGCAATTTTGCAAGTACATTCACGCTTCACGCAGTCCCCCGCGCTGCTCTGCAGAACCAGGGTCGTCGTCACAACGTCGGCTCCCGGGTTAAGCAAACCAATGTTTGCTGGCTTGGGCTAGGCTACCACCCAACATTAGTTTTCCCAATTAAACAGGCGCTTCGTGGCATCAATACGCATGACGTGCTCAACGAATAGTTTGCGATGGCCTTCCGTGAACTGATTGGGGATAGCCAGCAATCCATGAATGTCAGTTGGGCTAATGCAGCGCCCTCTCTGCTTCGATACTTGCAACAATTAGCTTACATAGTGTAGCTTACGAATGGAATAGTGGCTTGGGTAGGTGGTGGATCGCTCTTGCTGCGATCACAGCCATTTTAGGTCGAATCCCGTGCAGCTGAGCCAATTGTAAGGCGGACTCGTGCCACGCGACCAGCACGGCGGGTTACGATACGTACAAAATTGCTTTGACCCCCCTCGCACACATCAGACTTTTACTTCCGCTGGCTTCCACCGGCCCCGCTTTGCTTCCACCGGCCCTCACCCTGGGAAGAGAGGGCAACCTCTCGATCCCTCGGGGCCGATGACCTGCCTGGAACGCCCTGGCAGTCGGGCCGAAGATGGATCCCACAGGCGATATGCGGCGTGGCTTCCCTGGCCCTGGTCCTGGGGACCGAAGCGGAAGGTGGGGGGCCAGCTCAGGGCGGGAAACATTGACCTGGAATCGGCGATGCGTCGCCAATGGACCAGCGATAGGCCCCCGACGCGACACCTGCACGTTCCTGGGCGAGGCGGGCTATCGGGTACCCATCAGCGATCAATGGGCGATCGGGCTCCTGAGCCGACCCCTCTTGCTAGTGTAGCCCCTGACAGCGGCGGCTCTCCCGGCCAGCCCAACGCCGCTCGAAATCGGCCTCCACAGCCCTCCCTGGGTCCATCCTGACCTGCCTCTCGAGGCGGATCCAGCAGTGGCGACGGGGAGCCTCCAGAGGCCCAAACGATACGACAACGAACGAGTTGTTGGAGAGACCTATCAGTCTTCACAAAACTCCCAGGTGCCAGGGTCGCGGGCACACAGGGGCTCACAAGCAGTGCGGGGCGCCGTGGCTCTGAACGAAGGTGGAAGGACAAAGAGCCAGAGACTGCCTTCCAGAAGGTGGGAGGGCTTTTCAGAATCCCCGCCGCCTTCTGAGGAGGGCGGACCGCCGACAAGGCCCCATGGAGATACCCAAACCGAAGAGCGTTCCGAGGTGGAGAACCCCTGTGCGAAGAGCAGCAATGAGGGCCCCTTCCAAGGCTGGGGGTCGTCTCACCCATAGTACCAGTTGTATCCTGTATGACACGTGCACGGACACAACCGCCAGACATCAGGCCGCACACAGGAACAAGCAAGTAGAATCGGACTGGCATGAAGTCACTTGTCCTCGCCCGAAGCGAGCACTGCCACCCTGGAAGGCGATGGTGACCAGCCCTCTCTCTCCCCCCCGAAAAATCTTATCCGCAACGAACGCTCACATGATGCAAAAGGTGCTGCAGCGAATGCGGGCGAGAAAGGCGGAGAGCGGACCCGGATCCACGGCAAATCCCGCCTGCCGATCAAGAAACCAACTCGCATGGGCGTCGTTTCAGGATGGGCTGGTGGGGATGCGCGAAGCGTCAACAGCTATGGCGGGCGCCAGAGCGCAACCCCAGGGCGGGGTATACATTGCAGCCGCCACAGTTGATAGAAACCGCACCGAAGCGCAGCACATGACGAAGCATAATCAGGTTTGTCCTTCGACGCGCCAAGGTTGTAACAAGCGGTGAGAAGTCGAGCAGAAACTCTTCCAACACGAGCAATAAACCTCTGCGGCCACGACCACAACACAGATAGTCCCAGCGAGAGTCGGACACGGCCGACCGCTGAGCTGTGGAATGCAGGTGGATCAGATACTTGTTCCTCAGATGCGCCAGTGAATGCAGCCTGCGGTTCGAGGCCATGGGGGTGCCAGCAACTAGACTCGCTTCTCGCGACGCGCGCGGCAATGCGAAGCACTCACCCTCCAGCCCTCGTGAGGGATGCTCTGGAAGCCATCTGGGGTCACCTTGGGCCCGGGCCTGCCTGGGCCAACTCTGGGGAATCCCCTTGGGCGCAGGCCACCTCTGGCGACACCCGAGAGCACCCGTGGGCAGACGCAAGGACGGACACAAAACACGGGCCGATCTTTCAGGGTAGAGCCTAGTAGAGCGTGCGCGTCGAGCCCGCACGCTGCAGACGTGCGGGCCGAGACCGTCAGGGGCATCTGCCAGACGCCTCAAAAGCTCTCATCAAAAAGAGCCGGAAAAGGTGGCGATCACGGGCGGCGGGCGTATTCATATCACTGCGTGCACTTGTACGTGTCGATCATTATGCTTCCCACCACCGCTGAGACGCACGGGGGGACGGGCGTAAAACAGGGGACCCGCTGGCAGGGAACGGCGGCAGTGCAGCGGAAACATGGACGGACGATGACACGGAAACGAGGAACAGAGAGATCACGAGCAGCGGAAATGTTCATGTCCACGCTCTCGCGATCGGGATTTTCAGGGGGGGGGTCCCGTGGATACGCGGTCGCATGGATACGTTCCGCGCGGGGCGTCCGCGAACAAGACGCCGCATATCCACGGGGTCGCGGCCGAGGGGCCCGGCCCGCGAGGCTGTGGATGTGGACACGTATTGCGCCCGCGAGGAGAAGCGGAGAAGACAAGAACGACGAGCAGGGCAACGTACTGGAGATCCTCCGCCCGCTCCGGGGCTGCACGCCGGTCGCTGCCGCAACGTCTGGCGGGGGCACCGGCGCCTCGGGGAGGCGTATCTGTGTGCTCCCCCCCTCACACGAGCCAGCCGGTGGGACAAGCAGAGGCCTCCTGAATGGTGTCCGAGCAGATGGGGTCGGAGCATCGCGCCGCATCGCCGATGCATCGGCGATGCGTCGCCGCTGCTCTGGCGACGGCGGCGCTGAGAAATCGGGCCCCACATGGAACCGCATCGCCGATGTATCGGGCATATGGCGCGATCCACCGACCCGATCCAACCCAGGATTATCGATCCCCCCCCCCCGTTGTCCCCAGCATTCAAAATCCGCCGATCTGACGTGTGAGCTACAAGGAGCCTCAGCAAGAGCTTCAGCTCTGCTTGGGTGGGGTCGCCGGGGTGGCTCTGCCAGGGAAAGGGGGGGTGGGGGAGGAGGGTGCGGTCCCCCATCTGGCGTTTCCTTAATGACTCGCGCATCCCCAAGATGTTTCGTGGGGGTCCCAAAGGGACCCCACTCAGATTCTGCTTGGGGGGGGCGCCAGGGTGGCTCTGCCGGGGAAGGGGATCGAGGGGGGCGGGGCGGTCCCCCATCTAGCGTTTTCTTACTGATTTGCGCATCCCCAAGATGCTTCGGGGGGTCCCAGGGACCCCCATCAGATCTAGCCGCTACCGCCCCCGGGACCCTCCCCTCGGAACCCTCCCCGGACCCCCCCCGGGACCGCTCAGCGGGAGGCAGAGGATAACGAGAACTAGGGAGAAGAAAGAGGACAGGAATAATCGAGGAGGGAGGAGGCCACAGAGCCGCGAAGATCGCCGAATCCGGAGCCCCCCGGATCGGCGGCACTTGCAGGTGGCCATTACAATAACATAAAATCTGAGTCACTGCGTGGAGCTTCCCTTATGTGCATCTATTCGCATGGACCTGTCCGCCGTAAATGTTTACGCGCAAGAGTTTTCGAAGATAAACGGACTTGAGTTGTGACGGTCTGGTCATGAATCTAGCTGCGAATGAATTGAGGTGTGACTGAATCTCAATAGTACGAGCGCGTCTCCGCGCATGAGCCTGGGGCCTCCTGAAACCTCCTGGGGTTTCCTGGGGCCTCCAGGAGCCTCTTGGGGCCTCCTGGCGCCTGGGGCCTCTTGGGGCTTCGAGTGGCCTTCTGAAGCCTCCTGGAGCCTCGCGTGGCTTCCTGGGGCCTCCGGGAGCCTCCTGGGACCTCCTAGAAAGGATTCGTACCCCAGGAGAGAGAGGCCCAATCGATATAGGAACAAACGTACATAAAGCATTGCGGACAGGAACCACAGGAGAAGGGCAATCTATAGGAACACGCGTAAAACACAAAGAAATGTGCCCCAGGGGAGGCCCACACTATAGGAACATACGTAAAACATTTAAGATTGTACACACAGGAGTAGGACAATCTATAGAAACAGACGTATAAAACCAAGGATTCGTGCTCCAGGTGAAGCCCCATATCTCAAAACATACGTAAAACACATGGGATTGGAACCACTCCTGTTGCCTTCTGAGGCCTCTTGCTCCTGGGGCCTCTCGGGCCTCCTGTTGCCTTCCAGGGTCTCCTGGCGTTTCCTGTGGCCTCCTGGGGCCTCCTGTGGCTTCCTGAGGCCTCCTGGAGCTACCTGGGGCCTCTTAGAACATTATGTGGTCTCTTGAGTCTTCCTGGGGCCTCCTGATGCCTACTGGGACCTCATGTGGCCTCCTGGGGTCTCCTGGAGCCTGCTGGGGCATCCTGTGGCATCCTGGAGAGAATCCGCCGACCCCTTGTGGGTCTCTAGGCGTGTGAGATAGTTCCCCCCCCTATAGTCCCCCCCCCGGGACCCCAAACCGGCGATTTGACCCCACCCCCCCCCGGGCCCGGGACGAGCGCCGCCGGGGCCCGGGACGAGCGCCGCCGGGGCTTTTCCGGGCCCCAGGAAGCCTCAAGACGGGCCAAGATGGCCCCAAGAGGCCTTCAAGACGGCCCACGGGAGCCCCGAGACGCCAAACGAGCGCTCCAAGACGCCCAAGATGGCTCAAAGACGGGCTAAGAGGCCTCCAAGACGGCCCAAGAGGTCCCCAAGAGGCCCCAAGAGGCCTCCAAGATGCGTCCCACGAGGGTCCCTAGACGCAAAAATTGGCCCATTCCCTTCGTAAAACGTACATTTTTCACGAATTCGCTTTTTGGGCTTTCCGACGCTCCCAGACGGCCCAAGAGGCCCTAAATACCGCCCCAAGACGGTCCAAGAAGCCTCCAGGGAAGCTCCAAGGCAGCCCAAGAGAGCCCCAAGACAGCCCAAGAGGCGCCCAAGATTGCCCAAGAGGGCCCCGAAGACGGCCCCAAGAGCGCTCCAGGAGCGCTTCAAGTGGCCTCCAAGAGAGCTCAATATGGTCACAGACGGTCGAAGAGCGATCAAAGACACCGACGATCGCCTCCAGACGGCCCAAGACGGCCCCAAGAGGCCCCAAGAGGCCTCCAAGATGCGTCCCAGGAGGGCCCCTCGGCGCAAAAATTGGCCCGTTCCCTTCGTGAAACGTACATTTTTCACAAATTTGCCTTTTGGGCTTTCCGACGCTCCCAGACGGCCCTGGAGGCCTCCAATACAGCCCCAAGGTAGCCCAGAGGCGTTCGAGCCGGGGTCATCCGGGCTCCGGTGGATCCCAGCTCGAACGCCGCCGGGGGGAGCAAAGGGCCCGAAAACGAACCAAGAGCGCACCAAGGGGCCCCCGAGACGGTCAAGAAGGCCCCGGGTAGCCAAACCAGCGTTCGAACACGCCCAAGATGGTCCCAAGACTGCCCAAGAGACCCCCAGGAGGGCCCCTCGGCGCAAAAATTGGCCCGTTCCCTTCGTGAAACGTACATTTTTCACAAATTTGCCGTTTGGGCTTTCCGACGCTCCCAGACGGCCCTGGAGGCCTCCAATACAGCCCCAAAGTAGCCCAGAGGCGTTCGAGCCGGGGTCATCCGCGCTCCGGTTGACCCCGGCTCGAACGCCGCCGGGGGGAGCAAAGGGCCCGAAAACGAACCAAGAGCGCACCAAGGGGCCCCCGAGACGGTCAAGAAGGCTCCGAGTAGCCAAACCAGCGTTCGAACACGCCCAAGATGGCCCCAAGACTGCCCTCCCCCTCGCCATCCTCCCCAACCTCACCCTCCTCATCCTCCTCAACCTGATCCTCGACCTCCTCATCCTCTTCAATCTCATCCTCCTCATCCTCCTCCTCCTCCCTCTGCTCCTCCTCCACCTCCGACTACTCCTCTTCCGTTTTTTTTTCCATGCGCTTTGCCATGCCTCTCAATCTTTTCTTCTGGCACTTGCCACTGCACTGTAACGCCTGGCAGCTACGAGCAGTGAAGGCGGAAACGCGGCGATAGCCGCCGGTACGAATCAAGGGGTCGGCGGATGTGGCGTCAGCCTGGAGAATCTGTGCCCACGAGTCTGGCCACCAAAACGACCAAACCGATCAAAACATTTTCAAAATCCGGCCTCCTCTGGGGGGCGAAAGTGAGCGCCTCGCTCGAGACATCCCCCATATCTTTTCCGAAAGCGGAGGATGTTCGCGACAATCCCCGCAACCTGGGCGCGAACGGAGGCCGTGAGATACCCCCTGGTTGCCCCCCCTTAGGAGACGCTCGCACGAGACATCCTCAAGATCTGCTCCGAAAGCGAAAGGAAAGATGTTCGCGACCAACACAGGCAAACCACGCGAGACATCCCCGCAATCTGGGCGCGAACGGAGACCGTGAGATACCCCTTGGCGCCCCCCCTGTATAAGTGCTAAAACCAGCAAGCCGCTCGAGACATCGTCATCCTAACCATCAGCAGTATACCCAGACTCCTCCTCCTCCTCATCATTATCATCACCACCATCGTCATCATAATGTACTAAACGAATGATTTCAAACAAGCCTCAGAGACCCACCCACCCAACCCTCAGACCGCCCCTACGGGGCCCAGGGCAACGACAGGGGACAGGGAGCCCGCCGAGCCACGGGGACGGCGGAGGACACATTGAGGCGAAGCCTACAGCGAATTCGAAGCCGCAGCGTCACTTAGAAATCTCTCTCGTTGTCAAGCCAACTACGATATGAGCAAAGCCATGATCTGACCCTGCAGTGCGTGACGTCCTGCAACATGTCACTCCAACATCTTCCAATATGAAAGACAACAACATATCTCGAGGCCTCGCGTTGCACGAAAAAAACCACACCATCCCCTTCAAGGGCGGGGGGGGTGCGGGCCCGAGAAGGCTATGGCGTGACGCATGCAGCGATCGCTCATTGGACTGAACACTATACACGAAAACCCGGTCGTAACCTCTCACTTCATCATAATGTACTAAACGAATGATTTCAAAGAAACCTCAGAGACCCACCCACCCAACCCCCAGACCGCCCCTACGGGGCCCAGGACAACGACAGGGGACAGGGGCCCCGCCGAGCCACTGGGACGGCGGAGGACACATTGAGGCGAAGCCTACAGCGAATTCAAAGCCGCAGCGTCACTCAGAAATCTCTCTCGTTGTCAAGCCAACGACGATATGTCCAAAGCCATGATCTGACCCTGCAGTGCGCGACGTCCTGCAACACGTCACTCCAACATCTTCCAATCTGAAAGGCAACGACATATCTCGAGGCCTCGCGCTGCACAAGAAAATCCCACATCATCCCCTTCAAGGGCGGGGGGGGGGGGGGGCGGGCCCGAGAAGGCTATGGAGTGACGCGCGCAGCGATCGCTCATTGGACTGAACACTATACACGAAAACCCGTTCGTAACCTCTCACTTCGTCATAATGTACTAAACGAATGATTTCAAAGAAACCTCAGATACCCACCCACCCAACCCCCAGACCGCCCCCACGGGGCCCAGGGCAACGACAGGGGGCAGGGGGCCCGCCGAGCCACGGGGGCGGCGGAGGACACATTGAGGCGAAGCCTACAGCGAATTCGAAGCCGCAGCGTCACTCAGAAATATCGCTCGCTTTCAAGCCAACTACGATATGAGCAAAGCCATGATCTGACCCTGCAGTGCGTGACGTCCTGCAGCGCG